GTTCAAATTAGCAAGTGTAAGGAAACAAGTTCTCCTAATGAACTAAGAAAATATTAGACATGGATTTATCTTAACACATCAGCATTTTAATTTAATTATCAAAACAGTTGTTGCAAGCCTCTCCCTGAGTTCAGTTTGTCCCAGAACCCTTTCGAGACAGCTATGGGGTCACTCTCGTGGAACTAAAGCTGTCCCCTCCAGTGACCCAACTCACACCCCTGACACCAGGGCAGCTCAACTCCATCTCCAATTTTGCTAGGGAGGGGGAGGGGGCCCTCAGAAGTCATGCACAATAGTAGTATGGTATATTTGATTCTAGCCGGTCTGTGTAAATAAAAATAAACACAGCTATTTTGACGAAACGATTAAAGAATACAAGAGAAAATGAAGGAGCGACAAAAATGTACTCTCGTGTGCAGGGCAGTGTGTAGCGAATATCATATCAAATAGCAGGCATGCCTAGTTCCTTAAAGTAACACATTCCTAAACCGAAATACTCCAATCATATTAATAGGGAGGTTTAAAACGTAATCTGGAAAGATCCTATTGGGGAAGCTACCCTCTTTGCTTCTACGCCGGTCAACGCACATCAATTTTTAAATTATATTTAGCCAACATTCAAGACTTAATGGTAGGTTCACCGGGACGTGACGTGGTGCTGTACCTTTAATTAAGACGCCGTCTAAAGTTCTTCCGAGACTTGCCGGTTAAGTGGGCACCGCGAGTGGACGACAGGGACAGGCACTCGGTCCTTTGTTACTCAATGGACACCCTGGAAGGCCCGCCCCAGCCCAAGGGCACATCTGGGCTTCTAGAAACAACCCGACGTCCACTCGGGCCTCCTCTCCACCCAGTCATCGATCCGGTCTCACGCGTGGACCACGAGAGCCCCCCGCACCCCCCGAAGCAGCCAGCCGCCTGCACCCCGTTCCCACCGGCCACTCCCGCCCCCAATCCGGCCCTCGGGGGAGCAGGGCCCAACTCAGGTGTGGGGACTTACGTAACCGGGCCCCCTCCGGGGTGGGGGGGCGCCCGCCTCCCCCCCCTCCAGCAGAACAAAGTGAAGTTTAAAATAGAAGCCAATTACCTGGCCTGGCCGCGGCGCTGGGCCCCGCCGCGCCTCCGCCAGCCCCCCGCCCGGCCGGGCCAGCCCTCCCCGCCCGCGCTCGCCCACGCCGCGGCCCCGCGAGCCCGCCGCGCCGCCCCCGCCCCCCGCGCCCACGCCCTCCCCCACGGCCCGCGCCCCACGGCCCACACGGACCCCGCAGTCTTTGTTACGGTGCGAAGTTGGGCTTGCGGGTCCCAGTCTCTTTCACTTCTTGGGTTACAGGGCAGGCGTGTGACGTCCGCTGCACATGACGGGGGCGGGGGGCGGGCGCCAGAGGAGAGGGGGGCGGCGAGCCGGGGGCCTCCCCCCCTCCGGCGCCCCGCCCACGGCCCGCCCCCCGCAGCCCGCAGCCCAGCAACAAGCGGCCGCCGCCCCCGCCCCCGGGACGGGCAGGTGGGTGTCCCGCCCCCCGGCCGCACGCCCCGCCTCCAGGGCGGGCAGGTGGTGCCCCCCCCCCCCCCCCGCCCACGCACCCTCCCCTGCCCCCGCCGGCCACCCAGGCCCACGCCACCCCCCGACCCCACCCCCCCAGAGGCGCCGGGCGGCCGGGGCACACAGAAATAGGAATGATTTAATGCAGCGACATACCCATTCCTCAAGCCACCGGCTCGCCGAGATTGGAGAGAGGGCCCAAAGGGGTGGCGATCCGGTTGGGTGGAAACGGCCCGAGTAGGAGGGGACACGCGGACGGACAACACCTAGGAACCGAGTTGGAAATCTCAGGAGTGGGGGCGGGGGGCACCCCGGAGGCGACCTCGGTGCATCCAGATACCGGGTGTGGACACTGTGCCTCCCTTCCCAGGTCTGTGGCCCCACGGGGGTCTCAAGAAAGGGGAGGCGCACGCGTGCGTGTCACCCACCATTGCATCACCACCACCACCCCTGGGGAATCGCAAGGCAGACCACCGAGCGCCCCAAAGCCCAACATTTAAACACCAGCCAGGCGATCCCGTCCCGAAGTGAGTGCTGCACCGATCACCCATCACCAACTACGCCTGTTCCTAAGGAGACCGGGTGGAGAAGGTTCAGACAGTGACACTCTGCCCGGGAACGTACCCATTGTGCAGACGCGGCCAGGGCGCAGCACTGAGAAGACCCGTGAGCACCAGAACTTTCATCAGACATGAGCAGTTCGCACTCTAGAATTTACCAGGGACTAAGTATCACTCCCAGGGAGAGAATGAAATTGGAAGTTGGGAGGCGACGGTGCCCTTCAGTTTTATGTGGAGTTAGCATCCGTTTCCACAACCCACGATCCCTGCACGTTTGCTATCGCCAAGTCGCTGCCACACGACCCCACTGGCGCCTGGGAGCAGGCGGATGGAGCTGCTCTAGAGTCTCCAATGGTTGAGAAGTGTTATCAATCCTTCCTCTTTCCTTTCCCCGTGGCAGGTTTCGACTTGAATCCGAAAGTGCTGCCCAGTCTTCGCAGGAAGACGTTGAGAGGGGGCAGGATCTCCACTTGGACTGCTGCGTGCGCATCTAGCTGGACAGACTTGGATAAAAGCGTGTCCACGTCTACAGCACACATCTGTGCAAATGCGGGAGCCTGCGGATGCGCGCGGCTGGCCGGACTCTGGGCCGACACATGGGCGCGTGCACGCGCGTGCGCGCTCTCACACACACGCACACACCCCAAATTACCTCCGGGATGGAGAAAGCTGCCGCGGATTGGCCGACAGACCTATCACTCACACCCAGGGGGCAGGGAGACTCTGCAAGGCAGTTTCTTTTTTCTTTCTCTCTCCCCTCCCTGTCGTTCTATTTAGTGGTAAAACAACAGCAGGGCTCTGAAAGTTAGCCATCTATGCGGAGTTTGTCTCCCTAACGAGACTGGAGTCAGAGGATGCCATTTAAATATATCTCGTACGTCCACAATGGACGAAAAGGAAACTAGCGAGAGCGAGGAGTGTAGAGTGGGGGGGGGGTTGTATCGGGGCGGGCAGACTCAGGGTAGAGTGTTCTCAACACCCCAAAAGAGACTTTGACCTTTGAGTGATTTAATAATTAAAAATGTTTTTGCGAGTCAGATTACAACAGATGTTCGTCCCTAATTTTTAGAGTCGTTATTTTATTATTTAAGCATGCTGAAGCAAGCATGTTTCCTTAAGAAAGAACTGACCTATTTTTGGCAGGAGATAAACGATCATGTTAACAGATGTTAATCTTGTAATCTGTTTTTCCTGTAAAGCACTTCGCATACCCCAGCTTCAAGACCTTAAAAATAACATCTTTTCCAAAAAGACCTGACGTCACAATCCACTCCCTGGGAAGAAAAAAAAAAAAATCACGCTCCCCTCCAGTTTCTCTCTTCTGCAATGATTTCAAAGACATTAAATCTTTTTCACTTTATAAGTGCCGATTTGTTCTGCCCCAACTCCCACAGGCTTTTATTTGCATTTCAAATTCCACAGGTTACACCAGTCGCCTTTTCAAAAAAAAAAAAAAAAATGTAAACTAACAATGAAGCGGCAGTAAATGGCTTTTTGTGCATCTGGATTAAATAAGACGCCGAATGAATAATATATTTTAAAAGAGGGGCGAGCAAGTTGATCCGTGCTCACCCAGCGACCAAGCCAGGCAATGAGTTAGCTACACACACAACCCCGAAGCTGGGGGTTGGGGAGCTGGCCTGGTCTGCTGCGGAGAGCTTGTTAACGCTGGTGATGGATGCGGCTGACTTACAGACCCACATTTTTCGGGTAAAGGGCTGGTTCTCTGGAGTCCTAATCGCAGGGACCCACTGGTTTGCCGATTCACAAAGCCTGATTATCATCGCACGCCCGCCTTCCTCCAAGAACCGCTGACTGAAAGACCCCACTGGCCTGCATGTGACAAACTTACTCAGACAAAGTTTCTTTAAAACTTGACGAGGAGGTTTAATCTAAATACTGATCTTAACTCTTCGGTATGTTCTCCCTGGAAATGGCAGAGGAGGCGCCGTTCCAACCCCCACCCCACCCCCGCAGCATACACCCTTCTGCGTTCTCTTTCACATACCCGGGAGGGTGTGATTCGTGTGTGTGTATGTGTGTGTGTGTGCACACATATACACATATATGGCTATCAATAAGTCCCCCTCCCCCACTCTGCTACACCCCCGCAAGGCAAAGCGCAATTCCGAGGAGTCCCCGCCACGCAGATCTCCTTCCCACCCCACTCAAGAGTCACTTCCAGAATCTCGCCCCCGCCCCCGCCCCCACCCCTACGCGAACTTCCCTTCCTAGAGATCCCACTTCTTTAGTACCAGGGTCACTCAAATCTCCCCGCTGACCACAGAAGCCCGGGGAGGGGACCGTGAGAACACCCCACCACCACCACCACCGAACACACACACACACGCAAACAAGTCCCCTAGGCAGCGGCGCTCTGTGCCCACAGGCATCGATCCCCTCCGCCAAACCCTTAATAATTGAAGCGGCTCCTCCGGCCCCGCCGCCCATCACCCACCTTCATTAGCCAGAGCGTTTTACTTTAAAGTAAGGCAATTTGCTCTTTGTCTCCTAATGGATGAGAGCGCATCCGAGCTCCCCTCCTCCCGCGTCGCCTTTGACGAAGTGTACAAAGCCAGAGCCTCTTCCGCGCTCCCACCCCGGCCCCCACCCCGCCCCTCCACTGCGGTAAAAGCCACCTCCCGGGCGCTCGCCCCGCCACCCGAAGTTGCATCTTCTCCTCTCCTGGAATTGCAGAGCGGAGTAACTACCAACACAGAAAGCCAAGTCGCCCTCCTGGCGCCAGGGACCTTCTACAGGGCGCGCCCCCTGCCCAGCACGCCCCCACCCCACGGGGCACAGCGGGGTCTTGGGCACGTTGTGGGTCCCGACCCTCCCGGCCCTGCCTGTCGATCCGCCCTCCCACGGGCCAGGAAGCGCCCCCGCCCCACGGCCCCTACCTTGGAGGGGAGGCGGCGGGCTCCGGGAGGAGGACGCGCACGCCCCGCGCATCTGAAGGTGAAGCAGAGCGCCCGCGGCGCCGAGCCGAGCGCTGCTCGAGACCGACCGCGCCAGCTGCGCCCGGGCGCGGGGGACGCGCGAGGGCGCGCGGGACCCGCCACGCGCCCGGCCCCCCTCCGCGCGCCGCGCGCGCGCCCGGGACGCACCCGCCCCGCGGGGGCCCAGGCGCCGGCAGGGCTCCGAGGGACTGCACCGAGCAAAGACGGGGACCCGGCGTCCAGGGTCGGAGCAGGCCCGAGGCTTCCCCCAGCCCGGGAATGGTCTGCCCTGAAGGAAACGCACACGCTGCACTATTGTCTCATCAGCACAAAGTTCTGCCACACTGCGGAGAAAGTCTGGAGGCTCAGCGATGACTCAGACCCACATAATTCCTCCCCTAATGGCACTGAATCACGACGTCCGCGGCTAGTGGTCGCCCCTCAGCTTCAAGTCTCAGATTGCCGCAGCTCCAGTTCCTAGAGGCTGTTCACGCGCGCGCACACCACACACACACACACACACACACACACACACACGCATCCATACGTGCAGACGTGCCTGGGATGAATGTCCAGCTTTCTCGAGCACCTGGACGCTGAGCCTCGAGCCCACACTAAGCGGTGCCCACCCTGCCCGCGTGTCCCCTGAACTTCACGGGAGCGCGTCTGGGGGCCCTCGTGCCCCGGGAAGGACAGGACAGCGCTGGGGCCGAGTGGTGGAGCTTCCACTCGTTTGTCACCGTGGCTGTTTACTCGTGTCTTCCAAGTTCAACTCATTTTGCTCTGCTTCGGAAAACTTCATTTGTGCCTCCCGCCCCCCCCCACCTCCCTTTACTACTCTCCGTGGGTCGTAGTTAGTGACAGTGTATTGAGTCTGTGAATCAAAACCTGGATTTGACGCCCCAGAGCTTTCTTGGTACTTGGCAGGGAGGGGCTGCGGGAGGGGGGAGGGGAGCTGGAGCAGGAGGAGGAGGGAGGAGGAGGGGCCGGGGAGCGCGCCCCGCGATCCGCGGTGACGTAGGCCAGGGGAGCCGTGGCCTGCGGAGGGGCACTGTCTTCTCCCACCAGGCTCTTGGCCATATTGTTCGGCGGCTGCGCGTGATAACTCCGCAGCGGAGAAGCGCTGGGGCCAAGACGCCGGAGTTGGCTCTGCCTAACAATCGGCGCCAAGATCCGGGCGGTTACCTTTCGCGGTGGCTTTTCCCGGTGCCTGGCCCTGGTCGCTGCTAGTGCAGCTCGGGGGGCCCTCCCCGGCCACTGGTTTTGCAATAGAAACTCCTGTGCGGAGGAGCTGCAAAGGGCGGCGCTTGTACCCTGGCAGAGCTGGCCATCGGGCGGGGGCCTGGCTGAGACGGAGATGTTTCCGTGTGCATGCGTGTGTTTCCGCCGAGGAGGGGGCGCAGAGGGAGGAGGCCCGCGAGGAACGGCCCCGCGAATCATAAAATGTAAGCCCCGTGTGATTAATGGTCGGCACTAATTTGGAAAGCAGGCATGTTAAAGGTCACGGCCAATTGTTGCTGGTTTCAGCCTGAATGCTTAAGTGGGATGTATTTCTGAACAATCACATTTAAGTCTGATTCACAATAAAATAAAATAAAAAGTATTGAAGTACCTACAATTCATTACAACACCCGGTGAAAGTTCACAAGAAAGGCTTCTCCCAATTCAGCTAATGACATGAGTATAAATAGCATGTGTAGATGTTACATGTGTATACACAATCTCAAACACAGACTCAAATATGCACAGCACAAAGTTTAATTGAGGGTTTTTTTGGGGGGAGGGTAGTATTTTTAAATAGAGTCCACGCCATGTAGGAGACATCTCTGCCTCTTTTGATCTAGTTTCCGACTACACGTTGCATTAATAATTTCCATGTGTTGAAAAATTGACAAGTTAGAGTACTGAACAGTAAGAAAAAAAAACCTACACGAAATTCTATAGTTTATATGACGTGGCTCCTTCCTTCGGCCACTCCCCTGTGATTTCACTGTGTGCTTCCCCTGTCTACAATAATATTGTGCTTTCAAACAGTTTACTTGCACACTTTTGTAGCATACGTTGGAAATCTGAGAGTGAAATTTGATAGATGGGAAGAGTCAGGTTCTTGAGCCCATGTGACAGCCTAGGAAAGGCAGCCTGAAGGCCAGCCAGCTTTGTTACTAAGTTGAAACTCGTTTTTCAGTTGTCTCTCTAAAGCCACTGTGGTTGTTTATTGTCAACATACCAGTGCAGGATTGCTCTGCACACAAAGAACAATGGCATAAAAATGAATTGGAGAGAGTTCTGGTGCTGTTGGTACAACCATACTGCAGCTGTTTTATGTCTTCAAATATCTGTTTCTTTTAAAGCCATTCAAGATTCAGGACACTTTCTGTACAAAGTACAAATCCCTGGGACTCCTTGGGGATGCAGGGTTCCTCCATGTCCTGAATGGTTTAGGTGAATTAGAATATTAGAATATTGGAGCTGAGCAAAGCCACGGTGTTAATGGTTAACATTGGGGTATTTATAATGTTAAATGGGCTGGTCCTTCTGGCTGGCGGAACAGGAGAGGAAGACAGCACTAACTCCCTTCTGCTGCTGCCTAATGAGTGATTGGTTCAGCATTTGAAACTCTGTCCCTTCCAGGGATTTGATGAGGGAAGGCTTGGTCGGTGATTGGGGATGTTTAGATAAGAAACATTCTTAGGGGGCTCCAGTAAAGAAGAGCTAAGAGTAAAAAGCAAACAAAAAGCACCACTCCCCTCCCCCAGAAAAGGCCTTGCCTGTCTGCAAGCCTGAAGTGAAACTCACTGCAATAGAGCATGAAATCCTCCAACAAGGCAAACTACCAGGATGTACTAGATAGTCTCTAAGTGTGAGCCCTGGGGAGGGGGGGAGACACCCAAATATTAATGCCATCCTTTTGAATTTATTAAGACTGTGTGAATTACAGCTCAGAAAGGAGGACGGCATTATGTACCCAAGCCGAGGGCCATCTTTTGCTCTGCAAACTAACTTAAGTGCACAGAGGGAATGTCTAAAGACAGGAATTCAGAGGGAATGCAGTCTAAAATTTTGTTTACATCACAGTGGGTATGCCTAGGTGTTCCATGTGAGGGTGTGAGGGACAGGGTTAAATTGTTGCAAATGAGAAATGGAAATTGGGTATTTGCTGCTATTTCAAAAACAGTGGCCCAACCCTTACTTGGTGAAAACCTTCTGAAAAAGCTTTCCTTTTCGTGGACTTTAAAGGATGAAGTACTGTCTGCATTGAGAATGCAGACAAGCTGAGGGATAGCTGCTCGGTTTGGGTGTGTTGGCAGGAAGTTAGCACAGAGTCAGTCTCCCCTTGGAGAGTGGTGAAGCTGTGCCTCTCTGTTGTAAAGGCAGGTCCTCTGAAATGCTTTCCACCTACAGGGGTCTAAAGTGCATTGTGTGGAATGTTTCCAGCTCGGTTTAGACTGTCTGGGTTCCCTTAGATCCTCGTTCTATTTAAGGGACGGCTAATAGAAAAGAAGCAGTGTATTTCTTACACAAGCACGCATACACGCACATACACACAACCACCTCTAATGGGAAATGTACCCAGATGGCTCCATGCTTACACCAAGAGGGTTCTCTGCTGAGGGCAGTCTTCTCTTGCATACTCATTTATACACCAGATAATTCGGGGGTAAGGATTCAATCAAGGTTGAGCTCTTCATGTTCTTTCAGACACCTGTGTGAAATTTTGTTCATCCCTCTTCCCAGTCTAAGCTTGACGACCCTGTACAAAGTGTACCCATGTGTGCAACTACGAGAATACGGCTCTCATTTCGCCCGCCCGCCGATGCAGAACCCTGAAAAAAATCTTCTCACACAGTCATTATTTTAACAATCTTTCCTCGATTTCTTCACAGGAGTAGGAAAAACAAAACAAACGCTAAAAATCTTCACACTGGCCTCTTGCACGCTGTTCTTACACAGATTTTCTTTTCCTGACTTTTGCTGCGCCCATCTTTTGGGTTACAACAGGTAGCATTAACAAATAACACTGTTGAATCACAGAGCCAGCCCCGTTCCCCACTGAGGCACAGAAGGTGTGGAAGTCTCCCTCGCTGTTTAAGCCGAGAAGCTATATTCTCTCACTGATTGCAGTCTTTGGTGACTACACGGCAGGTAGGCAACCCACACACAAGCCTGTTCCTAATTTCATACTGACTAAAAGGCCCAGCAACAGCTGACTTCAGAATAGCCAGCCGGATCAGAGCTCCACGGCTGTGTGTCACAGTGGTTGGGGGAATAGGAGGGACAGGGCTGCAGAGAGGGGTTCTCTTTGGAGAGAGTCCCCACGCATGGGGAAGGGAAGCTGCTTTCTGCTAACTTCTGTCAGGATCCCACAGCATGTTAATTCCTCAGCAGGCAGGCTGCGGCCTATTAACATCTCACATCCTTACAACAGCAGAACCCTTGACTGTCTCAGCCCCCAAATCTCATTAGATGTCGCCATGCATAACTGATTACATGTGCGCATTGACAGGGAACTTCCCCAACAGAACTGGACGGACATTGAGGGAGGCAGGCGGCCATGGCTCCTTCTCTGTGGAAGGGGAAGAGACTCTGAAAGGCCCCTCCCTGAGACGTGACACACGTGTGATCTAGTTTAAATGACATCAGTTGTGGCTCAGTAGGAGGAAAGTCAGTGGCCACAGGATACAGGAGACTTGCCCAAATGAGGGGCTCTGGATATTGAGAGGCCGGGTACAGTGACTCGGTGGCCTCAAGAACAAAATAAAATGGACAGCTTCAACCATTTTCAAACACACAACCGGCACATTTCACAAAGATACAATGCATAAGTATCTTCACAATGCATGCCTAGAACTTTCTCATCACTCCAACAGAAGCTGCAAGCCATTAAACACTTGGGCTCTCCCTCCCCTCCCCCAGCCCCTGTCGTTCATCACCCAAACTTTCTGTCTTTGCATTTGACTACTCTGGGGACCTGGATCCCCCTGTACTTGTCCATCACATCCTGGAGGCTCATCCATGTTAGAGAATGTAGCTGAATGCATTTTGTTTCCTTCAAGAAAAACAGACGTGGGCTAGAGATGAAGGTTCCCGGGA